ATATAATAAATACAAGGCTTAAGGTCGGTTATTTTACAATTTAAATTATTAACAAGTAACAGTTATTGATTGTTAAAATTTTTGTTTATATTTAAAAAAAATATAATTTAATACAAAAACATTTCATTCTAACTCGTAGACCATCTATATTATTTTATGGTAGTAGTAGCAGTAGTAGTAGTATAAGCTTTATTTTACTTCAAAAATAAAATATTTTGCATAGAAATTTATAACAATTACATATAATGTAATATATAAAGCTTACACCTAATTATTTTTATATAATTTTATATAAATATATAATGTATCTCTTAATAAACTCACTTAAAAATCCTTTAATTCCCAAAGATTCTATTTCAGTATAAACAAGAAGACGTGCATAAGTTTCTACAAGAGCAGGAGTTGGAACAGTACTTTTACTCTGTGCTTGCTTAATCATTTGTGTAACAAAACTGCAAATTATAACAAATTATAATTGTTATCAATTAATATTCAGTGCATATTTTTACAAACTATTTATTACCTATGAATAAGCGACATTTTACTGTGTACAGTTAAACTATCAAGAACAACCATTGAAAAAGGAACCGAAGGTACTTGTGTTCCCCCTGTCGTCTTAGTACTATTTAATGCTTCAACCAAAATGTTCATTGGACGTGCAAAGTATTCCTGATTTGTAGAATACGCATTACATATTAATATTATACGAAAATCATTTCCAAGACTAATAGTCATCAAAGTACTTGGCATAACCAAATGTTGTAGAAAACTTGAAAGACATATGTTATAATTAATTAAAGATATTTCTTTTTTAGATGTATTTAATATTTACTCATGATGATTCTTCAAAGCAATTGGTAGTGGACGATTTATGTTCATATTTTCCACACGTGCTTTTTTCATTAAATGTATCCAAATACAAATTGGTGCCATCTGAATAACGAGATTAGAAATAGATTTCAATTAAAATTTAATAGGTTTTAATATTACCTGCCGAAGAGATGATGATTTAGTGCATTCTGGCAACTTTAATGGTTCTTGCTCTGGATATAGTAAATCGAAAAGTTTAAACATTGGTAAGAAATTTGCAATCTATAAAAAAACATACATTAATAAAAATTAACTTAAATAAGAGTTATTAAATACTGGATTTTTCTGTATGCTTCCAGATATGAACTGTAATAAAATCCACATTAGTTGATCACGACCTTTACGTAACTCCATTTTTGAGAGCTTTTTAGAAAAATAAATAATATTATTATGTTTTCTTACATGAATCTATTTCAATTATTAACCTTTTCATATAATGCTAGCACGATTTGCATAAAACTAACAAATTGAAATAATACAAAATATATTAATTGAGATGATAGATGCAACCAAACCCATTCATTATCGGAAATTTGTTCCTCTGGCGCACTAGAACTGCTTGCTGAACTTGATTCAGACGATTCAGTCATTTCCATTGCGCTTATTATTAAACTAACTAATTGCTCTTCCAGAGCATTACAGCGTTCCTTTTGTTGCTTTTGTAAGTTAAGCATAACAGATACCATCTCTTTCGAATATGGTTGATTTAGAACATAGCGTAATAGTTGCGTTTGCTCTTCCAATAGTTCTGGTTCATAAGGCAGACAACCTTTAAAATTAAATTTTAATGTATTATGATCTAATTTCCAAGAATTCATCATATGGTCTGCATATCCAAAATGTTCAACTATTGGTAGCATGTGTGAATGTCCTATTATGGAAACCATTTGTGCTATACTGCGAAATTCTTCCAAAAAATCTGTCATTAATTTATTAATTTTCTAAATGGGCAATATAAGAAAGTATTAAACGTTAAAGCGGTACAATGCGGTAAAACTACTCACCCAATGGTATGGGAATGGTTTCATTATTTCATTTGCTATAAAATATGCCGGCAGCAAACACTTGTTTCTGTCAAATATCAAACGGATTATTTCTTCTAAAGCTGATAGTTGTGGCATGTATATCACATTTATATTCAACGGGAAAGATTGTGCCTTATCACGACATACCTGAAATCATCAACATATATAACTTGTCATTATAATAATGTATTTTCTATTTTAAACAAAACACCTTCATAACTTCACGTACTCCCTTATAGTCCACCTGTGTTATTACTTTCTTTATAAGGCGAAAACATTCAATCCAAAAATCTTTGTTTTCATAAACGAGTTTGTCGCACAATAAGATTTTATCACAGAGCAGTCTACAATATTTCAATATTTAAGTTTAAACTCAAATAGTTTAATATTATAAATATATTAACCTTGCGGTTATGAGGTGTGCATCAACCAATTTACTTAGCGTTTTCAACAGCACTCTTAATTGATTTAAATTGGTTGCAGTCGCAGTACGCTGCAGGTACTGCCTCACAAGTCCCTCCTTACTGTCTTGTGGCACACTCCCAAAGCTGGTAACTGTATTTTATTCAACGTAATAAACTAATTAATAATAACAGTTATTTTGGCGCAATTATGAGTTTTACCAATTAAATCCATAAATTTTGTCGAACTAGCCTCCTCATCTTCGGGATTATAAACGATGGCTGACGAAAACAGTACAACCTTTGAATTCACTTTCTATAAAAGAAAACCAAAAACTATTAATATTATTTCTTTTTTAAAGCAAATTATTTTTCACACCAAAAAATTATTTACAGCATCCAAAATTTTTGCCTCCATTGCATTTCATGCTTTATTATATGACCAAAATAGAAAATAACTGACCCAACTCCAACTCTTAAAATGCCGGCGTCGAATTGTGTGAATTCTACTTCAAATTATGTTTACGACAATTGTCAAATCTACAAGTAGCAAAGAATACGCGAAATAAAACCAAAAGCGCTAAAAAACAGATATGTTAATCAGCTGATTTTGATTGACATATGCCGGCACTCCATACAATGCCCAACGTACAATTATACTTCAGATACTAGCGACAATGGTTGACGACTCTCACTATATTTCAATTAGATTTATTTAATTTATAAAACGGTTTCTCGAACAGTAGTAAACTACAACAACAAAAATTTATTTTATATTATTTTAATTAATTGAGTTTTTGGCTGACCATACAGCTGTTTCGAGTATTGCGAAATACCCATCATCAGTGGTCTTGGAAATAGATCTTGTATTTAATTATTCGTAAATAATTCTTTTGAGATTACAAGTACCAGGAATCGAACTCGGGTCCTGCCAAATTTGAAGCTCAGAGTCAGCACACCTTTATCAACTGACCCAAAGCCGTGCTTTATTTAATTTATTGAATGAAATGTAATCATGCGCAGTACTACAGAAATAATCACAGACTATAGTGTGATCTTGTATTGATTATAATTCACATAGGGCAGCTGCTTCTGTTTCTTTGTCATATTTTTATTAGCATTTCATAACATTTAATTGGAATAAAAACTTTTGTTTTGTATTTATCGACAACGTATTATTAAAATAGATAGGAGTCCATCTGTTAATAATTATTAAATATTAAATTATTTAAATATTTTAAATCGTAAATCAACTTTTATAAATTAAAGAAAAATTTTAGTTAACATTACAAATAATACATTAACAAATATCTATAGGTTCCTTTCTCCCTGGTTGGCTATATACCACGCATTCACCTGTTATTCCGTGGAAATTCCAAATTTTGTAGTAGATGTTTTTGTGAATTTAATTAAGGAGTGCTTAAAGCTTCATTTCTTATACAGTGCCACCAAGGATTTTTAAAAAGATTTTTTCAGAGTGTTTCGGGATCTTAGTGACATTTATACCCTAATCCTGTTTGCCGTAGTTCTAGTAAAAATATGTAAATCAAGAGATCAAAAGATTTTCAATAATGTTTGACATGTCGTACTTTTCGAACTCTCGAGTTGTTGCAAAAATTATTTTGTTATTGTTTATAGTATATTTATATTCTCGTTGAATTTTGATCAGGTCATAGTTCACTACTTTCTTCTCATAAGATATCGCATACGAATTTATTATAATTTGAATGTATGATTACATATACCATTATGCCATTATAAATGTGCTAAGGGGAGAGAAGAAAGATCTGGACGCAATCTGGAAAAGCAATCTGATGATATTCCAATTCGGATCAGGAATGTGAGCCTGGACGCAGGTTTTACGAGAAGCTAATGGCATGGATTTTAGTTCGTATACTACAAAGTAGGACACACCATTCCGGCGAAGGTTGATTCGACGGTGCATAAAGCATTACACCTTCATGCTTTATGCATTATCATGATATTACATAATTTCTAATATTTTACTATACAGTAAAACTTTTAAGAATTTTGAATGAGTCTTCTGCTTCATTCTTGGAAGGCTGGTGAACACTTACATCTACCGAACCATCATCATCACTTTCCGTTGCGCTTAGAATTGGATCCAGTAATTTAGAGCTACAGTGCCTAATAATATCGTCAGCTCTAGGACAGCTTGATGTCAAGCTCATTGTCAAGCTCAATATCAAGCTCAATATAATTGTTGAGAGTATCCTTGGGAGTTATTTTATTTACTATAAACTACGCTGTCAGTGATTGGCTTTGCACAAGGAAGCAACATATGAAAGAAAAAATTCAACATTTGGTTTGGAAACTTCCTTCCCTAACAGGGGAAGTTTGGGAAATACATTTATACTCTAAAGAAAAATTCGACTTATAGAATGCGATTTCCCATATTCCTATCGACACGGAACAAAATTTTTGTTCGAGTTATAGAGAAATTCGAGTTATGGAAGCAGAATTGTATGTAATTTGCTCTCTAAAACCTTGGTGCACTGTTTTTGGAACAAGTTATAGAAGTTCGAGTTATGGAAGTTCGAATTATGGAAGTTTGACTGTATTATATTAAACACAAAGTAAACTTTGTTAAATATTTCTGAACTTATCGCAATCTTAATTATTTATTTTTAAATTTTAAATATTTTAATTTATATTTTGAAGAAGTTCTGAATTTTATTTTTGATTACATATTATAGTGTACATATTATAAAATTAATCCGTTTATTAATATATATTTTCGATAATTGTTTTTTATCTACAAAATGTCTCATGAAATTTGGAAAAAACAAGGACATCAGCGAAAAAATGTAAGTAAATCAGTATGAGAAAATAAAAAAAAATTATTATTTATGTGCTTAATACTATCTTCATCCGTTTATAGTGGGATGAGAAAACAATTTTTCAAAAATATTGGTATTATTTGCAACCGCTTGGAAAGTTTTTCATAAATACTATAATGCAACCTTTGCCTTTTGCATCCATATTTAAGGTTTATTCTGGAATAATAATACTATTTCTTATACTAGTGCCAATCTTACATTTTGTTGTGGCGTGTCTAATAACTTATGGAGTTTTTCAATATTTTGTGGAAAGGTAAGAACATAATCAAAAAGAATATTTTATTAATAACTATATTCCAAGTAATTTTCTATCACTTAAAATTTAATCTAAAATATAAATGAAACATAATTGAATAACAAGTTACATACATTATTAATATTCTTATATCCATGAGCCCATAGGATATAGGACCCGTGCCTACTAGTCTTAGATGTTCGAAGTTTTACTGTTCACAAAGAAAGCATAGTAAGATTCCTTTTCCAGTAACACAGTAACTATCTGGACTATAACTACAGTTAATAATCTTAATATTAAAAAGAAATAAGCGTAAGGGATAAGCAACAAGATGGTTTTAAATAGATCATATTTTCCTATATGTATAAGCACTCTTAAGCGCTTATACACCTTCATACCAGACACAGTTAGGAAGACGCTTGAGAGGCTGAATCGAATCATTAATTCAGCATAACTCTGCATAAGAAAACTTTCTTAAATGACTGAAATTATCCCAAAATAAAATTTTCTAGCACTAGTAGATCTTATTTCTTAACTGATAATGCAATAATATGCAGTATGAATTTATAATATATGTAGAAGTGACCTAATGCTTATATTATTAATGTATTGTCAGCTCAAGAATCCGTTTCATTGTTTGTTTAGTTTTAGTAGCAGCAGAGTTTCATCTTTTCTCCACGTAACAAATAATCACAAATCGGATTATGACAACCTCAGTTTTAAAACTAACCTGCGCGGTTGATAAAAAAATATAACGGCTTATTAGTTCATAACCTTTAATAGTAGCAACTCTTACCTTTGGCATTTGGAAAAAAATTATCCACTTGTTTCTTTTTCCTCTTTTTTCTTGGTATCTGATTGAAACAGATACCTTAATTGTTGATAGCTATCAGTGATATGTCAACACTGCCAGGAGTTTTGTCACTTATAACTTGTCTCTAAACTGTAGTTCTCCATCTTTGTCTGCTTCTCTTAGAAAATAATTGATTTTTTATTAATAATTTAAAAAAAAATTTCGATTTGAATATTTTCTTATTATTCCATCTTGTTTCATTGAAAATAGATTTCTTATCATAGCACAAGAATCATTTTTAATTGTAAGAAATATTTTTACTTTAATTCTTAATATTTAATAAAATTTTTTATGTTTAAAACCAATCTGGTGTATTATTACATATTAAGATATTTCTAATTTCAGAATATGTCTCATATTTCCTAATTTAATATAAAATATGGGACCAAATATAGTTTTTTATATTTTTCAGCACATTTGAAACAAAATTTCCTAGATCTTGGAATTTATTAGATCTTGTTAAATATATATATAATTTTGAAGTAAAAAACCCACATCAACAGTACTTCGTGAATTTGTATTTCGCACGCTGGCGAGTTATGATAACTGCTATAACATCCTCATTGGATTATCTGCGTCTAACATTTTGTTTACTCAATGGTAAGTATTGCTTAAATTATTTTGTTAAAGCTTAAGATTTTAATTTTTTTTAACAGAATTATTTGAATGATCAAAATTTAAAGTACCTCCTTACAAATCAACACTGTGCATTTTATTGGATTTTCATTTATTTCAATAAAGATCTTATTTATTTAGACGTATAAATATAAAAATGTTTGTATATCTGTTCAAATATTACAATCAGTTAAATCAATGAATATAATTACAGTGTTACACAGAAATAATTATGATATAGAAGTTAAATACATTATTTTCTTTTCAAATATAAAATGTAAGGAAAACTATTCCTTAATTTGATAAAATTAATTTATATAAATACAAAAACAAAAAAAAGAATAACATCGAATATGTAATAAAGAAATTTTGCATTCAATAATCTCGCGAATACTTATTTTAAATGTTTGACATTTATAATTTTCACTTTATATTTACAATATATTAATTAACTAATCTGAGGGTGGTCGGGCAGAGGGATCATCTCGATCGATTGGTGGAGGAGAAGTCAGTACTTCTACATTCTGTGCTGGCCCTTGCATTAAATAGCCAGCAGTAGGATTAATACCTTTAAATTAATTTATTTAATAACACAATTATCAGATTAAAGTGAATATATAATACATGAATATATTTATATGTTAATATTACCTGTAAGATAACCTCTTATATTCGTGTCAGTTATGAACAGGTCGTGTCGTTGATCTTTAAACTCATACCAAACTTGATGTTTTAAAAGTATTTGCGTAACGCGATCTCCATAGTTTAGATTATGTGTCATTCCTTTCAGTGCTGCCACAATTTGAGCCTTAACGGCTGATGGATTATCAACGTAATCTAGTCGACTATCTAATAAACCCAGCAAATACGGTATGAGATTAACTTCTAGTGATTGACTAATAAACGAGTCCTGAGAATTTTTATTTTAATTAAATTAATATGCTTATTATATTGTAGTAGGTTTCTTCTTACAAATTGATATTTAAATAAACGGCTGAGTGTTTCACATGATTTTTCTATGCAATCTTTATTATTTTCCATGCAACGTTTCAGTGGCAAGATGCATTCAGTTTGAGAAACGGCATTTACACAAAACTACAATGAGATTATTATTAATAATTTGAACAATACTCAAAAATCTACATCATACTTCAGATAGTGATAATTGGTGCAAGACAGACAACGTAATTTTCGGCTGTACAGCTAATAAATTAAATAATTTTGGTATATGACCCAGAACAGGGATATCGTCAGCTAAGTTTGGTTGTGAACGAAGTAATTCAACAAGTGCATTAGTTGATAACTCTAATACTTCCTTCTGAAATATTCGACGGAATTGGATTCATTTTTATTTATTTAATAAAAAAAAGTATATTGCAAACCTCCGTAGAACTCTTGCTTATTTGTGCCACCACAAAGTCCAATAGGTCAGATAAAAATTGTTTCGGTTTACGCAATGTCCAAGCGGGATTACTTACAAACAAACGCAAATAAACACCAGCAACTACAACCTCATTTGAAATAATATCTTTCAATACCTCCGGATCCTTCCAAATATGTTTAGCATTAAACTTTTGTACTTTATAGAAACTAATTAAAAAAAAAAACACATAAATAGAACAATTCAACAGATTTTAGATGTAGTAACTACCTTTCACACATTTCCGCAACAGCATCGCAAACATTAAGTCGTGTTTTGTCATTCCAAATAAGCTCTGGATGTTCATGTATAGATTCAAATAATTGCACAGAAGTTTGAGGTGATTCCACCATTGCATCAAGAAAAAGTGGCGGAAGAAATTTGGATATCGTAATACGCACCTATGAAGAGATTTAAAACTTATGTTAATTATAATAATTCAAAAGCATAGTAAAAACAATACCTTCGGCCCACTTAGTCGATCGGCTGTCATTTTAGCCATTATTTCGGCACACATTTCTCTTATTTGTGGATTTCTCGAATTACAGAACAAATCCAGTAAATAAATAATGGCACCCTTCTGTTGAGCTTCCTTTATCATTTCTTGTACATTCATTAATCCTGAAAGTGTTTCTAACACTTTTACCTGACTGGCACGTAAATCTTGATCTTTGAGAGCAACCAAGAAACTACCTAATAATTCACATGATGCAATTTCAGATACGCAGTCTTTATTTCGTGACACTAATGCAACTACTTCAAGTGCAATAGATTTAACAGTTGAATTCTATAAAAGGGAATTAACTTATAATTAATTATTTATAATACAGTGAAAAGTCTCTTAACGGACAGCCCTGTTGAGCGAACATTCCTCTTGAGTGAACAATTTATATAAATATAATTTTTTAATATTTGGAAGAACTACGCTCATTAACCAAGAATGGCAATTTGTACGCCACGGAGCACTCTCAAACGGAACTACACAAGCAGATCTACGCGGGCTATAACTACTACAACCCGGATTTTGTTTTTTAGTCGAACAAAAATTAGCTAACGTTGGGTGTACGTTCAAGAGAGATTTGCTGTAATATATTCAAATGAAATCATTTTAAAAATATATACCTCTGAAAATAAATTATTAGCCAGGAACCCATAAATAACATCGAAACTTCCTATACATTGAATTTCAACTTCTTCATTTGATTTTATTACTGCAATTAATGCACGAAGTACGATGATAATATGTTCCAGAAGATGAGTGTCATTAGCATAGTCATGTTTATATGTCTGTTTCGCTAGTTTCTGTTCTAATACTGCATCTGCTTTTAATTTTTTTCTGTTTTTCGAACGATTATAAGCATTTAAGACTTCATCGAATGTGCTACCCTTGTTCTGTTGTTGTAACTGTGGATGATTTGGTGCCATTGTAGGTGTTAATATACCATCTTTCATTGCACTGTCACTTACTTTAGAGTTGTCTACGAATCTACCATTTTTTGAACTAGTTAAGAAATGATAAGCTTGTTTTAAAAATTCTAACAGTTCAATTATAAACTGTTTAGGATTCACAATTGGAAAAGTAGGCATTTCATTGTAGATACGTATGAAAACTCCACCGATTTGTAACTCGTCCCTGAAAAAAACCGCACATGCTTATTGTTATATTTTCTCAAAATGTATAAGATATTAGCTTACTTGTGAGCATCAAATTCAAATGTTTTAACAACTTCATACATTTGGGTTATATCTTCGTATGTTTCCTTAACTGAACTTGTGCGTTGTTGTTCTAAGAAATCTAGTAGTTGCGCTCTTGTGCCATTGTCCCATATCAAATATGGATTTCGAGTATTTGAAGTCAGCATTTTTAATATCTAAAAACATTTTACAAAAAAAATTAATTTACAATATGTTATAATATACGAGTATAGTATAAGAAAGTACCTCACTAGATTTTTCTTTAGCCATTTTATTTGATATATAATCAGTCAATAAGCGATCTAATACTTGTTTTACGAACGTGTTTTTTGCTTCAGAGCACACAGTGTACTTTTGCTGGTACGAATCATTTGTTTTTTCACTGTCAGATGATGAAACAGTGTCTGACTTTTCGCTTGAACTTGAATCTTGTTTTGTTATCGTCTCAGAAGCATCAATGCCCGACGTTATGGCTAACTGCTTATTAGCATTTTGTAAAGGGTTTTGTGCATTTTGTGTGTACGCTGAGTTTGCAGCACCAGCATTGGACTTAGCTTTGATCGCTGGAGCAGGTTTACTTGAAATTGTAGGTGAACTCGTAGCAGACTTATCATTTTTTTGAGACTCTAGACCATAACCAGCCAGTGCAATGCAAGCTAAAACAGCCATTTTTGCCAAGTTGTTTGCTAGTTGTTGTTGATTAGTTTTATCATTGGCTTCGACACCACTCTCATCCAACGTATAATCATACTCAAATGTAAATAATAATAATGACCATAAAACACCGTTACATACTAAATTGCATTGTAATTCATAGTTATTGGCTGCTAAACTTGTAACCAAACTTACGGAAAGAGTATGCTATAAAAGAAAATTTTGGCTTAATTTAGTTTACTTCACATTATTAAAATATATACCTTAAAATAGACAACTCTGCATACGTCTGACAACAGTTGCGGTAACGTAATTATTTTTTGTTTACATTTCTCAAAATTGCAGGCGACTTCGAAACACCGTGTCACGTTTGATATCACTTGATAATGCAATGAGTCTGGTTTTGAATCTGCTCCTAATATAGAAACACATCTTGTATAAGCTTCCAAAAGAGCCTCAATTCCTTCTTCACGCCGAAGTTCTTCTGCATTTAAGGCTGAGCAATGGACGGTATGATAGCAAAGTTCTGAAGCTGCAGTAAGTAGTTGCACCTCTTTGGCAAAAAGGTCATCATCGCGAGTTTCAAGTCTTATTGTTTTTATTAACTGTGGATAGCCCGCATACTTGTAGGGGCGTAAAACTAAAAATGTACAAAATTAAAATATAAAACTCTAAATTTTTGTTTAATGGGCATTTTACCGTCAGGGTAACGCTCAAATAATATACTCTGCGTTCGTAGTATCAGATTTATATTTTTCGGATCGGGCCCTCCACAACTCCACATTGAACGAGAACACAAAAACTCATAAGCTTGATTCACTTTTTCGAATACTTCACGACCATTAGGATTCTTATCAGGATGGTACATCTGTGCAAGTCGATAATAGCTCTTGCGTATCATGGACTCCTCTGGTTTTGGGTTTTTAGCTAAATCGATTCCCAAGTCCTGATATGCCTGTTGAACTGTCATTTGAGGTGGTTTTTTTTCCACCTCTTTACGCCAAGCCTCAAGAGTGTGCTTCAATAATTGTACGGGATCAGTAATAGGCCAATTTGGAAATTTCTGTGTATCACATAAATGTCGCAAGTAATATATATGACAAAAAAGTTCATTTTCGAGTTGAGGATAACTTATCGCAGGTATTGCTAAGTATGGATATCTAAAGATTTTATTAAAATAATTTGTTTGTCTATTTGTTTGTATCTTATTGTTTCCTACCTAGCCATAGTATGACCCTTTAATCTAGGCGTAAAATCGGCAATATGCGTTGATATTTTTTCAATTAATAACCTTCGCATTTCAGAGCTCCAAATTACTTCAGGTGTATCAAATTCACCTAAAAATATTTCAGCAAATTTTTCAGCGCTGTAGTTTTCCAAAAAACAAACCATTGCTTCTGGCAATAATTGCCCTAATATACTCCGGTGCATAATTCCTGACTGAGATGTCTATTACAAAAAATTATATTATTCATATTAGAAAATTTGATTTTTAAAAGAAATTTTGATTTTTAGTAAAAATTTCGATTTACCTCTTCACTTCGAAAACCTTGTTTCATATGCGTTAATTTAAGGAACTTAGTAATAGGTAATATATTGCTTCCAGTATACATTAACATAAAGTAAAATACACCGGTTAAATAAACTTTGGGCATTTCGGGATTGTCCTCCATGATTTGGCAGAGTAAAGTAGCAACTCGTTCTAACAAACCTGGATCATGTGTCAAGCATACTTGCACTATGTGTGGCAAACAAATAAACTCAGATAATTTTCTCGACAGTTTAGGTCCTGGTATAAGCACTGCAACTCCATTTTGAGTACGACTGGGAAAAAAACTTGTACATTTTATGAGAATATCAAGAATTTTTGACGATAATTCTGTTTCATTATATAAAGGAGAGCCTTTAGCAATAAGGCACCACTTCAATTGTGGAATTTGCTGTAGAGAACGCCACCCATCCATACCGACCGCCCAGCAACGAGTTTTTGGTGTTATAATACCTTTTTGCCACAATTCTTTTAGTTCAGAATATGTGATTGGTCCCTGCCGCTCAGGCTTCTGACCATCTTTTTCTATATTGTAATACCAATCCTTTTCTTCGTACAAGTGCATATTGGGACCAGCTTCGATTACATTTGTTTTTGTATTTGGCAAGGCACGACCTTTATGTAAATGAGCAAGGGTAATTAGATCTACTAGACACTGTACGTGATCAACAAGTGCACGACAATTTGCCTTTTCTAATACTAAGCATGATATCAAATTAATAAGTGCGTCTCTTAGAGATGGTGATAAACACTGAAATTATATAAAAAAATATATTATTTGCATCGAAAATAAGTGGTAAAAACAACTTACTCGATCACTAAGCTGCAATATATATGACATATCACTAAATTTGCCTATTTCCTTATGGTAACGTTTGTAGACTTTAGCTAAGGCTTGTAATGATGTGACAGTCAATTGATCATCATTAACACGTTGCCGACATAAAACTCTTCGATATAAGGCATTAAACAGTTCGATCCTGTTTAAATTAAAAAAGTATTATTTATTCTCAAATTAAATTAATATCATCTTACGGATCTTTTACAAGATTTTGTGGCCAATCATCCTTTTCTAAAATCAATCGAATGTAATAATCGCCTATTTGAATTTCATCGGCTAAGCACTAAAACGAAATTCTATTTAAATGAACCTAACATTTAAAATATTCAATAATACCTGATAGTTCACTTCAAATTCTTGATAATTCCAAGCCACAATTAAAGTTCCTGCTAAGTCTCTATCGTTAATAAACTGACGTAATTCGTTTTCTAAACAAATTCGCAGTTCTTCACGAGTCTGAAATTAATATTAAAAAAATTAAAGCAAATGAGTGTCACGTTTTTTTAGTAGTTATTTATTACCTTATGATTCCATATCAAATTTGGTAAATTATGATCTTTGGCAAAATTATAAAAGAAATAAGGTAAATTCACAATAGCATCACTCGTTTTCTTTTTCTGGCGTCGGTTGCGTAGCACAACGGGACGGTTTTTCAAAGATTGTGTAGCTGGATCCTGTTGTTCGATTAAATTCATGCCCCAATGTTTAATACCCTGCAACATTGAAAGTTGTTTAACAGTTTTTGTAATAAACGACAAATCAAATTACTTGTAAATGTTTTTCTATGACATTTTTTCTTGTTTTATTGGAATGTTGAATGGCAAATTTGAGATTATCACGAAAATTAAGTTTATCTTCTTCTAGATCACTTTGAGGTACGCTGTCTTCACTTTCCAAAAACATGAGCAGGCCAGCAGGCTGTAATTATATAAAACCATTAAAAAATTGTATAAAGCTAATAAAACATTTCTTACAAATATTCGTCTAAATAATTCCATCGCTTCTTCATTGTCTGTTATCCAAAGACCAATCAAATGTCGTGACAATTGTCTATGCGTCGCTAAGGTAGGATCGCTTGAGGGTGTGTATAACGCGACTAATAAATGTCTACATAATGCCGCCTCATCTAAAGCTAACGATTGCATTTGTTGCGCAATTTGTAGTTCGGCCTCTTCAATAATTGCTCGTAACACTAATCCGGCGCCTTTAACTATAGCTAATGAAGGATGTTGAAACAGTTTATATAAATAACGACCACGTTCAGCTACCAGCTCAAGAAGTATATCGAATTGTTTCCCATCTGTAGTTTCGCTATATGGAACACATAAGGCAAATGTCATGAAATCTAACATTGCTGAGAGTACCAAAGCACCACTTCCATGACTCTATTGATTGTTACATTTGGTAAGTATATTAAAATATAATATTCATAGTAAATACTGACCACATGTCCAGTCCACATATTAAGTAGTGTCTCCAAAAAGGATTTTGATGAAAGAATTGATGATTTATTTAACTGTTCTTGTTTTAAATCATGATCCGCATTAACAGAGTGCATCAATGAATTTACCATATCAATAGCGGCATATGTAACAGCCAAATCTTTACGACGTAAAGCCGCTACAATTTTAGTACCAATAATTTCACGAAAACTGCGAATAATTAATAGATATATATATACATTATGGAAGGCATTATTCCAATAATAAAAATTATTTACCCAGGTAAATTTGTGAAGGCGGCATAACCAACTTTACTTGCAAGTAAACGTGTCAATGCATGAAATATTGCTTCCAACTCTAGATTACTTAATTGAGCTGTTGGATTGTCTAGTTCCTTTTGTGCTAATGCTTGAAGTGCACTTAATATTAATTTTTCTTTGTTTTCAGCAAATAAACTCTGAAATTATTAATGTAGGTTTAACATTGATATATAATTAAACAAATATTATATTATCACCTACATCTTGAGTAACACTATAGTTCAGACCGCTGTGAGGAATGTTTGCATTAAACCGTTCTAAAATTTCATAACGCTTTGTGGGGTTTTGAAAATTATTTATTACAAGTCGCAATAAATTAGCTTCAGTTTCTTCATCTACAGAACTACTAAGTGGTACATAACGTCTACCTCGTGGTGTATTTATGATACGTATATGAACATCCTGATTGCCACTTGAACGAACTGCATCCAACAACGTAGCCAGTAGGGAGTCACTGTTATAAAAATTGTTTTTATTATATTATTAATTAAAATTTTTTCAATGATTATGTTTTACCGATCGTTTGTTAAATATGTGCGTACAATACCATTTTTGTACTCAATACAAAATTTTTGCAAATTATCCTTGTCTCTTATTAACGCAAAAACATCTGACAAAGGTCTCAGCGTGCAAACACTATATGTTTGAGGATCTCTCTCGAGTAAAGTTGTTTCGGTGAGACAGAGTATACGTTTAACTGGTTCAGGATGACGATTTGAAATCTTTTGTACCGTAAATTCAGTCATTGATGTTTGAAACTGATCATCACTAAAATTTAAATATGCATAATATAAACATTTTATATACTTTTCAGGATTTAAATACCTAAACTTTCCAAATCTTTGACGCTCAAATTGATCCAAAGTTATTTGGCTTTTGAGAATTTTCGTTTCAATACTAAGAAATTGTGATGAACGTTGAGCTATGTTTTGTACAATTTCATGATGATTATCCGCTTTGAATAGGTGTAGGCGGCTAAATCCGCCATATGCCATTACAATGCCGCCCTCATAATCTGAAATACCTGCTTAAAATGTTTAACACATCAAAGAGAAAACAAAGGTAAGTGCAATATATTGTAAGATTATACCATACAACAGTTAAATTCAATTGAATGCAAGCAAATGTAAAGAGGAAAGGCAGAGGAAAGACGTAAACACGTTAAGAAGCAAAACAAAACGTGCAAATTAATACTTATAGTACCTATTATTCCTTCGATATCCTTGTACATGTAACTAGTGAGCAGTTCATTGGTTGTAGGATCCAACTGATCCAAAGAGCAAGGTGTCACCTCCAGCACTGTCGGTAAAGTAATTCCTGACCAATGGTATTTATATCCATTAAAACGCTATTTTAAAAAAAAATTTATTTAAAAATTGTAATTTAATTTAATTGTATTTCATTTCTTACTTGGACATTTTTTGGTTTATCAGCAAATTCTTTGTAATACTTTAATATTGAGCTTAAAATATCGTTGCGGTATTCTGATGATAATTTTATTGAGTCGAGTTTTTTATCTTTTTTTATTGTAAGCACAAATTCATTAGGAATCTAAAGCAAAAATAAACAAAAATGAAGGGCAGAAGGAAGAGATTAGTAAGCAAATTATGATAAACAAAACTACTTCATAGCATTTTCATTTTTGTGCTAATCGTGCTGATAAATAATTATAGATATGCAGCAATAACAATACCACAATGTTTAGAACATTTGTAAACAATCTACTGAAAACGATTTGTTTTTTTATCACCTCAAAACACAAGGCTGTACGTAAATGTTAATTCAATATCACAAAATAGAAAAAAAGTTTATAACTCAATTAAAAAATGGCTTACATTTGATTTATTTGGGGCAGCAGCAATAATATCTGAATATGTCCAACGATTTGTGAGATCAAATTTATCCGGATTGTACGTGGAAATGCCTGCGGTGCCAATAGATAAAATGCGTTTATATTTGCCTTTCCATGAATGTTTAGTTACGAGGAAACATTCTAGGTCGACATTGTCTTTTGTGGGAACCGGAGGAACCATAATGGATGAGTTTTTTTAGAGCTAGCCAGAGCAATTCCTATGCTAGCTCGTTATATTTTTGAATATACACAATTATTTCACAATGAATTTAATTATCTCTTTGTTATTAATAATAAATTGATGTTCAATTATATCAGGTCACTTGAAACCGCTCAAAAGTCTTGACCCTATGACTCATGCCAGATTATTGACTCCCAAATATTACCAAAGTATTTATGTATTTTCATTGTTTAAGTATTCATTGAAGTTATCAATGGAGTTTAAATACCACTTTACATGGAATTGATCAAGACATAAATGTAGACTATAAAAGGGGGAGTAAACGTTGTAAAAAATATCACAAAATATATAGGCAACACAAAATAGTGAGTTAAAAAGAAACTACTACATAGATTTTAACACTTCTTTTATTAATATTCTAAAACATTTTAAGCACTGTTTAATTTTACAGAATCAAGAATTAACAGAATCTACTTTATATTTCTTAACTCTTGCATTTAAGCGAATTTTTGCAAATTTTTGCTTTTTGCTTGACAAGTGAAATATCATAAGGCAGTATTACAGTAGTGCTGCCACATTACATTATATGCGCTATATATTGCAAATATTTATTAAGTTTTTTAAAAGGTTAGTACGGGATAATTTATTTGTTATAGATAAATATTATGTGTAAAGAGTCTGCATCATATCATATTTGAATGTATTAAAATTTGCAGAAAACAGAATGATAGCAATATGATCTTCGCATGTGATGGGATTTCAGTCAATATCACCACAAATTTCAATCTAATTTCAATTGTTAACGTGTTAAATCCACTTCAACCATCTCTTACAAATGCGAAATGGAAATATTTTAACCAGTGGACCGTAGAGATTAACAATTGAAATCAAAGACAGATATTAGACTAAAAAAGTTCAGAAAATTCTGTGGAAGTTCTAGGAGTGCTTTTTACATTTTACATTTAAATTGTGAATAGATAATATATAGTTTTGTATTGTTAGCAGAAATTAATTCCTTGATTATAAGAAACGCAGAAAATGTAAACGTTTATAAAAAAGCAAACATTTTTTTATTTGGTGTGTTTGTTATATGCTTAAATACATATTGTTTCGTGTGTCAAATATGTCAAATTTCGATAATTTCTCTCTTGGGAAACATATTTTGCAATGCTGCATTCAACATTTTTGGTGTAACTTTCTTAATTTATTCTTAATTAAGTTGGAATGCGCAGAAGCTCTTTTTGTGGTTAATCAATTTCATTAGTGACCTTAATCAAATAAAGTAAATGGGAACCTACAATAAGACAATATTTTTAACAAGTGAGAGAAGAAACGAGAATGTTATTACTGTATGGTAGATTGTAGAAATATAAATTGTAAAGAGTATATGTATATTAAAAATGTTTTATGCATTATAAATAAGAAAAAAAACCATTTATTAATTTTATTAAAAAAATTTGCAAACGGGAACACGCTTGTTAATTATTAACACATTAAATTGTACCTTAATTTGAGTTTAATTTGACAATTGATAAAGATGGCATCACTCTGTTTGTAATACCGATTGCACTTTTGCAAAGTATTTTGGCACTGCTATTGTTTTCATAAATTGTAAATTGTTTTTGTATAAAATTGCTTTTAAATAAATTATGCAAAAATATGAGAAGTTGGAGAAAATTGGTGAAGGAACCTATGGTACTGTATTCAAAGGAAGAAATCGGGAAAGTTTAGAAATTGTCGCTTTGAAGAGAGTGCGACTAGATGAAGATGATGAGGGAGTGCCAAGTTCTGCATTGCGGGAAATTTGTCTGTTAAAAGTAAATTTCTTATATAAAAATTTTAATTTTATTAAAAATGATATTAATTATTAAATTTATTGCCTAGGAATTGAAGCATAAGAATATAGTTCGATTGTATGACGTACTACATTCTGATAAGAAACTTACATTAGTTTTTGAACATTGCGATCAAGATTTAAAAAAATATTTCGATAGTTTGAATGGTGAAATTGATATGGCCATCTGTAGAAGTTTCATGCTACAACTGTTACGTGGATTAGCATTTTGTCACAGTCATAATGTACTACATAGAGATCTTAAACCACAAAATTTGTTAATCAACAAAAATGGAGAGTTAAAATTAGCGGATTTTGGTACGTTTTTAATTCGTATTAAGTATACCAGAATTTGTTTAAGAATTTATTTATATTTAAGGTTTGGCGAGAGCATTTGGCATTCCAGTTAAATGTTATTCCGCTGAAGTTGTTACTCTGTGGTATCGGCCACCGGATGTATTGTTTGGTGCCAAGCTATATACAACTAGCATAGATATGTGGTCAGCTGGTTGCATTTTTGCCGAACTTGCAGATGCTGGACGTCCACTATTTCCAGGATCAGATGTACTGGATCAATTAATGAAAATTTTTAGAGTATTAGGCACTCCGACAGAGGAAACATGGCCAGGTGTCACACATCTGTCAGATTATGTAGCGCTTCCATGTAAGCATAATTTGATTTTGCTTTTACAACTTATTAATATATTTTATTGTATAGCATTTCCAGCCATTACCTCTTGGAGTCAAATAGTACCACGTCTAAATTCAAAAGGACGCGATCTTTTACAAAAATTGTTAATATGTCGACCAAATCAACGAATAAGTGCAGAACAAGCAATGCAACATCCGTATTTTACTGAAAGTTCAAATCATTAAATTTTAGATTTATTAAATTAAAACTTAATTTAAAGTGTAGATTTTAATGTATAAATTATAGTAAGAACAACAATTATTTTCGAACTTTGTATTAGTAATTTTTGATTTAATTTTAGTTTTTGAATGATTTATTTATATGTTGAATTGCTGGAATTGAAAGAACTGTATGCAGTATATCAGTGTTATTACTTTATGAATTAGAAGCATATTGAACTTATTATTTTAACTTTATATTGTTCCTTTTTTTCTAGTAATAAAAATTATTCTAATGTGATAGATATGTTTGTATCATCAGAATAACATTCTTTCGATATGAATTATTTTATTAATATTAATATATTTAAATGATTTTGTGTTTTTTAAATTTTATAGCAGGTCCGATTTAGTATTTTTCAAATTAGCTAAAACTTCTACTCTCTATTACTTAATATTCTTAAATTTTTATGCCAATTAAATATATAAAATGTATATTTTTATTAGAATATAACAATTCAAATAAATATCTTGTACTATTATAATGTTTATTCAATTGTTTTATTTAGTCGTGATATGGAAGATAATATTTTCTAATAATATACCCCTTTATCATATAAATTAATAGAGAACTATACTTAAAATAATTTAGAAACTAGTTATGTAAAAATAAAAGTATTTAAAGAATATTTTTATAGACTTTAGCCTAAAGTCGAAATATCGATGAAATAAAAATTATTGTAAAAAAAATCGTGGTTTCTTTTTCTTAATTTCTATTTTTAACTTCTAATTTGACAGGCACGAGTTCTTAGTCTAGCATTTGCAGAATAAACAAATTATATACGGACTATAAACTAATTAAATTTGATCATTTCCAAAGATCACTGATGATGAGTACTTTGTATGGTTATCCAAATTTTAATAAATTAACGAAAATTTTTGTTTGTCTTTTCTTTCTTTGCTTTTTGAAAAACCCTCTAAATTTTAAAAATTGCTTCTTTGCCATTACAAGAAAGCGTAGATTTTTCGGCCTGCAAAAATTAGTTTGCAAAAATACTTAATTTAAAATCGTTTGGGCATGAAACAATAAATATTTAAAAATATTTTTAGTTTAATTTTGTTTCTAATTTAGTGTTCCGGAGCAAAATTAAAGTGATAAGAAATTCTGCAGATGGCAACACTGAACACCAGAAGGAAAACAAATACTGAACAAAACAACAAAACGTGTAATAAAAGTTTCTGCGCAGTGAAAGTTAGAACTTATCAGTAGAACTTTTCTGCAAGCTTGTTAGTGCCGTCAGCGGTTTTAATTTGCAGCATCCAAGTAGTTAAACAAATATAATTTTTTCGTATTTTGCATACTAAATAAATAAATTGATAAGATTATTTTTGGATACAAGTTTTAGTCGAACGCTAATAATAATATTTATTTATTTAATTATCGACCCAATTGCCATATACAGAATAAATAAATTGGTTTACTTGTGAGCTCTAAGGTTTTATAAAATTTAATAAAATATGACTTGGGGATTCGTAACTTGTGGTCCAAATGAGGCTCTAGTAGTTTCAGGTAAGAGATTATCGAGTAAAACGATTTTATACCATATTTATACAAATTTAATAGTACACCCATATGACGTCATGTTTGTTATTGATTTTTGTACGCATCTCATTCAATGTGTCCGCAAAAATGATTAAATTCAATATCATATGTCTTAATTAGTTTTTTTTTTTTTTTTGAGAATTATTTATTTTTCATTAAAATATTTTCTTTCATTATAATCTTTAGGATGCTGTTATATGAAACCATTATTAGTGCCTGGCGGTCGCGCTTTTGTATGGCCAACAATTCAACGTGTGCAGAGGTATTTCTTTAATTTATAAAAATGTAATTGTTAAGAATATAAGTAACTAATTTATTTTAAAGAATATCTCTGAACACTATGACCCTACAAGTCGAAAGTCCTTGCGTTTATACAAGCCAGGGTGTGCCAATATCCGTAACGGGTATTGCTCAAGTGAAGGTTCAGGGTCAAAATGAGGATATGCTGCTTACAGCGTGTGAACAATTTTTGGGAAAAAATGAATCTGAAATTCAGCATATTGCGCTCGTGACATTGGAAGGTCACCAACGTGCTATCATGGGTTCAATGACTGTCGAAGAAATCTATAAGGATCGCAAGAAGTTCAGTAAACAAGTATTTGAAGTTGCGTCATCTGACTTGGCAAATATGGGCATCACTGTAGTGTCATACACTCTGAAAGATATTCGAGATGAAGAAGTAAGTAACCGCGAAACATTACTTGTTTAATTATTTTTATTATAGATTAATTAATAAATGTAAACAACTAACTAAAAGGCATGGGGCAGATGCAATATATTTTGTTTTTATATATATTTTAAAAATATTTTATTGATTGCTTTTTGTTTATCACTTCTCTGTATTTATGTGCATAATACTAACCACAATTACAGTTAAGATTTTTATTTTGTAACTTACGAAATAATAGCTTTTAATTTCTTCTGTAATGCTGAACAATTTTTATTAAGATGATTTCTGAATTATTGATTTTTACTATAACATTAATAATATTTATTTATGAACTAATTATTAAAACAGGATTGTAAAATGAAATCACACTTATTACATATTTTGCTTTTATGACACACATAATTTTATTTACTAATAATTTTTTAGTTACGAAATATGAATTTAATTTAATTTAAAATGATTAAAATATTTATTAAAATATTTAGTAGTTTATTATTATTATACAATGAAATTGTTAAGTAAATTAACATTTAAATTATTCATTTTGTAGAAAATTATTGTTTAAATATGAAAAATATTTTTATGTTAGTATATACACGAATTTCTTAAAAATTTAAAACAAAAAAAAATTCTTTATACTCATTGTATTAATTATTATATTAATTTAATTTTATGCTAATAACCTTAGTAATAACATAGTTTAGTAACTTAGAATTCTTTAATTTTTAATTAAAAAGCAATAGTAATAGTATGAATACTATTTAAAAATTATTATAATTTAAAATATTTATATAAATTTTTTATTTCTTTTTATTACAAATTTTTATTTTTATGACTTAAGTATATTTCATTATTATATTCTTAAATCTTTTTTATCAGTTTAGTAAATCAACGAATATACTCTCAGATAATGGTTTTTTTAACTTCGAATGGATAATGAAATTCTATTTATTATTTTTTTATTAAATAATATTTTGAAATAATTTTCTTCTCTTTTTCGGAATAATATTCTTCTTAATTATTGTGCATTGTTCTCATCAACAGGGTGATTCGAAGGTATGTTTATACTAGATTTAACAACGTTTAAAAAATATCAAAATTAAAACGTATTTCTTA